GGGAAAGAATTGGTTGCAAATTAAGAATAAACCTATAGTGATGCGCCAATATTTAGATGAAGTGGAAGCATTTGATGATTCAATGAAAGTTGTGACAGGTGGTTTATATTTTCTATTACCATATTTTTTAAGATTCTTTTATCGATCTAGTATCCAATACTATGATGATGTAACGAATGCATTTGTTTGACAATAGAGACTATGAATCATGTGTGACAACAATTGATGTTTGAGTATATGTGAGAAACTGAATTCGTAACAATATACAACGGTAAGCTTGTGTAATTGTTATATTTAGATATTATAAACAATTGATTTATTACTATGGTTGGTTATTCTATCTGTCTAATCAGTAGTTTTGTTTTTCAGATATGATGATCACGAGGTCTTGTTGAACATCATTATATTTTTTGGGCTTTATATTTAGTTTAGTAGACTTGCATTGTAACGTTATCGTACGTCTTAGCCTAAAATGGCAAACAAAAAACTATATTTTAGTTTATTGTGATTTCACTTTGATTTAGTTGGTATTTAAATTTGTAGTAGATATCTTTAATTTGTTTTAGATTCACTGCTAGTAAGATATAAATATATATTGAATTCAATGAATTAATGTTATAAAAGTAGACAGACAAAAAAATATACGGAGAAACCGACGATTTAAAATTGGACAAAACCGTTAGGTTTAGGTCTGAATTTTTTCCAAACCGTTTAAAATGGTTTGATTTAGGTTTGAGTTTTTCTCAAACCGATTTGATTTAAAAATTTGTCAAAAATCGATAAAACCGAACCGTTTACACCCCTAGTAATGGGGTTGGGGCTTGAAGATTTTTTTTTTTAAAATTCTTAACTCACTTCATTTTAATTGTAATGGATATACTACTTTAAAATTAAAAATTTTGTAAGTTCCATATATTGCTCCCGTTCGAATCGAAAGAATATATTTTTTAATTCGATTTTCACTCCTTGCAGGGTCATTTATAAATATATCCAAGTAGCGTAGTACTTAGAGAGTTCTTAATATAATAAGTGTACAATTTTTTCTTCAACGTTGTTTGTCAATTTTGCCATTTTTTGTTTTGCAGTATTTTCTACTGTTGTCGCGTAGTGTACTTCTAAGTGTCGTCAATCAAGGGAAGCTCACTTAGCTAATGCCACAACGGGCGGCTTGATGTGCTAAGTGCCCTAGGGGCGGATGGAGGAATTTTAATTTTTTTTTTTTCCCTTCATGTATCAACCCAGTAGTGTATAACCTCAGAATCGGACATGGTAGTATTCAAATTAAAAAGTACTTATCCTCTTTAGTAGAACGAGGAATCAAAGAATGGGTGAAAAGAAATTATATTTGATGTTACACCCTTAACTAAAAGGAAAATGCTGTTCATAATGTACACCTGATGCCCCCAGACACTTGTTGCCGACAGGCGTGACAGGCATCTCCCAAATGGACCCAATAGGAGGGGGGCGCGCCATGTGTCCATAATGTCCATTATGTGGGGGGGACACGTACCCATAGTACAACCCTGGTTAAAAATGCACAATATTTTGCCCTTCTTGTTTTTTTAACTAGATGCATGATTTGACAACTTAATAAAACATATAAAGTATATAAAATATTTTATTTAAGATACTTGTAAAGAGATAAAAATGGAGGACACATGTAAAGCATTTGGTACTGCATACCAAAGATGCACGAGCACGTTTCAAAGTTCAAACGATGAAATCAGATTATCTGGATGAATATCAACTGTTTGAAGCCTTAAAAGGAATTTCATACATAATTTTCAATATAAACTTGAATTTCAACAGTGAATATAATCGAAACAAATGAGCAAATCACATCGAGATGAAACATTTCCAATTATATATTCCTTTGATAATTGGAATGAAAGCAGCCTGAGTCATAAGGTGTCTTGAATAAATCAAACTCTTGCAAAAGGGAACTGCCTGAATTATTTAAATTAGTCGAATGCACCGGAGAAACAGAAGGCCCTTCGTCTGCTGCAGCTTGAACAAATGACCAGTTATGCAGCCTAATCGGATTGTCCACACTGGCGTTTCCCTGCATTAAGCCCTCCATAGAAATGGATTCATCCAGATTCAAACTCCAAGGATTATCGATTGACAGAAGAGAGGAAGCACTCGGAAGATCTGCTGAAATGACAGAATTAGTTTCAAATTCAAGCAAGCATGACACGTTTAATCCATAAACCAGTGAGTTTTCTATCTTATCGATTGGTTGCTCGTGTACTTAACTAGCCTGTTGATGAAGGGATTAACTACTTCTTTCCAATTGAAGAATTACTTTAGAAAGAAAAGACCACAAAATAGCCACAGGAATGTCTCTAGGAAGTTGCAGTTCATTGGCGCTAGAGAAGGTATGATTGAGTGTGGGAAATAAATAGAAGAAGACATACATTGATCTAGGACCCGAGGATTCGTGCTTTGAAGGGACAATAACCTCTCTGACTCAACTTTTAGGTTATAGACCGCAGAAGGAATTTCATCACCGGGAAAACACGGTCGTTTATCAATTCCTCCAGTCTTTGAATGCCTAAAGAGGGAATCGCTGGCTTGTGTCAGCATAGAATTGCAGATACTTTCCCCCCTTCGATTTGAACCCGAGATAGGGAATACGTTAAACAGCACATTCTGTGATGTCCTCTCTGTTCAGATCAGAAACAAGGAATTACTCGTACTTACTAAGCCAAAATCTAAATTGAAAGTGAAAATTTAAGAGTTTAAAGAACACCATATAATGAAGAAGACAGTCCTGCTGAGCTGAAATGGATCGGTTCAGGCTGCAGCCTACGTCGTCTAGCATTGTGATCAGAAAGGCGCCTTCGACAGCTTCTCTTATTATCATCAAACTCCGACAAGCTATGGAATCTTTCAAATCATTGAACAGACAGTTTTATGTCAAAAAAAAAAAAACTTGTAACTGTAGAACAAATAAAAAGCAGAATACAGAGAAACTTGCCTGCTGCATTGTTGGCAAAAGCGCCTTTCCATTCCTGCTACAATTACCTTGGGGCTTTTGGAATGACTTTCACAGATTCTATGACGCCGGTGATAATCTTTTGCTAATGTAAGATCAAGATTGCACCCTTCAACTTGGCAGCAAGGATTCTGCATTTTCTGATAAGACGCCCTCGATCTTTTTGTAGCATTACACGACACTGGAATTGAAGATGCCAATCCATACACTTTCTGTTTTCCAAGTTCTAAACTATTAAACGATTCTCCTGAGCTTCCACGTATCTTTTCCATCCAGATAAAGTTTTCGTCCAATTTATTGCTAACAGGCAAAGAACCAGATGTTACAAAAGGATTTCTTGAAGAAGATCCACTTACAAAACCATTACATAAAGATGCTGCTATGTCCACATCTTTGTCAGTCTTAATTACACGTAGGGGGATTTCAGTTGGCTCGACACCATCACAGTCGAACCCTCTTGTCGATTTCGAATTCCACTCCATCGGATAAAAGGGATTACCTAAACATTTCCTCTGTGAAAAAACAGGTCTCCAGCTGAGAAACTCATCGAACGATCATAACATTTAGGACAATTCTTGAAATTTTCAGAAGCTGAAAAGGCCTGTTAAACTCCAACAACACAGAAGAACCAACACACTTGACTAGAGAGTTCTGTTACCACTCCATAAGATAGTGATGCCTAATAAAGCAGAGATTTTCAATGGTCAAGCTTTCAACACGTAGGAGAAATTTTGGTGTCGTCGAATCAATATGTGGAGTAGGTAGCAAGATGGCTTGGTGTTCCCTCAGAATAAACAGATTATATAGATTACTTCCGGGACCGTCTTAACACAGATGAAAGCAATAGAGACAGAGAGAAACAGTAGCTAAATGACAAGGAATGGCATCATATTACAATTTACAATTTAAGTGTGTTTCGAAAAAGCAATTTTAAGTTGTAGCATGTACATTGCTAGTTTTTTAGAAGATCGAACAACGGCTTTTTATTGTTCGAGACAGCAAAAGGCTCTCTAACGAAATCTGCCGTGTTACTTATGCCCAGAATATTTGATACCAATTGTTGGGAATTCAAGGATCGTGTATCGCTCTTATATCACTTGTTATGAAACTAACCATCAGATTGAGATGTTGAAATTGTATGGCACAATAATGAAGTATTTGATCACAAGCAAAAGAATAAAAAAAGACAGAAAATATGACATAGGAATTATGAGATTTTATTGTACCAATAATAATAGAGAAATATACAATTGATCCTAAAAACTAGTAATCATTTTTCACATTTATAAAATTTTATAGAAGAGCCTAATATTTATACGGAACATTTAGGGAATGTCCAAACCCTCATAATAGAGGCGTTGATGAAGTAGGATACCAAAAAATCGAGTCTAAAACAAATTTCAACTCCCAATGAATTTCCAAAATAGAACTTCAATTTGACATGGGACTCCAATAGCATTCCAAACTGAATTCTTCTTGAAGCGCACTTCAATTACTTCAACAAGAAATTCGGGTCACACCCAAATTCTAACAATCTCCACATTGACACGAATTCCACCAAGGAATAAACTGGCTTCTTCAACAATAACCAAAAAATTAATTTCTCCAACAAAACACAATACTCCACATTTTTCAATCAATCACGCCAATAGCATTCCAAACTGAATTCCTCTTAACGTACACTTCAATTAAAATTCTTAAATAACACCAACAAGGAATTCGGGTCACACCCAAATTCTAACAATCTCTACCTTGACACGAAAGCTCCAAAATATTCTCCACTTAAATAAAAAAAATCGTCTGCAAGAAATGAACCGACTCTTTAACAATAACCAAAACTGATTTCTCCAACCAATATAAAATACTTCACATCTTCCAATGAATCCAAACAATACCCTATAGAATTATCTCAAGTTTCCAAAAAATCATAATAATTTTAAAACTCACCAAACTGAACTGTAACACACCCTAAAACAGAATTAAACTCAAATGTTTTTAAAGAAGATTCATTGCTAGATTGTACCCCTTCTACAAATGAATTTCCACAATAGAACTTCAATTTGACATGGGACTCCAATAGCATTCCAAACTGAATTCTTCTTGAAGCGCACTTCAATTACTTCAACAAGAAATTCGGGTCACACCCAAATTCTAACAATCTCCACCTTGACACGAAAGCTCCAAAATATTCTCCACTTAAATAAAAAAAATCGTCTGCAAGAAATGAACCGACTTTTTAACAATAACCAAAACTGATTTCTCCAACCAATATAAAATACTTCACATCTTCCAATGAATCCAAACAACACCCTATAGAATTACCTCAAGTTTCCAAAAAATCATAATAATTTTAAAACTCACCAAACTGAACTGTAACACACCCTAAAACAAAATTAAACTCAAATGCTTTTAAAGAAGATCCCAACGATCTAACATGGGGAAGATGAATATGCTCAACAAAATCAGCATCCACATACCTTTTTTCACTGGATTCGTCCCTAATAATTAAATACAATGGCACCGCATGTGATGGTGGCAAAGCGGCATTATCCATATATTCCGAACTCAACTAAGCAGTATTCTTCAAATTCGACCATTTACGAGCTCCTAAAGGTATTGTACCAACCTGAATGTCCACCATGGTACTGAACATGTGCTGATTGACTCTTTTAGATTCTATACGACCCTACAAGATGTATAACTGAGACATTTTCTGTTCATCCAATACAACCTGAGCACCCTTACAAACTTTCAAAACTCCACATCCACCAAAGAACATGTAACCCTTTGAATTAAGGATAGACAATGAGATAAGATTTTTCTTCAAATTCGGAACATGTTGAACCTGGCCAAGTGTTCTAATTGTCCCATCCAATAGCTTCAATCTGACCGTACCAATTCCAGCAACCCGACAATATGTGTTATCTCCCATAACCAGACACATTTGGAAACTGTTTCATATATAGTAAACAAGTCCATATTATGACATATGAAATACACACGCTAAATCCAGAATCCAATCCTCATCTGGTTTAGACTCGATGTCAGAAATAGCCAAGAAATCTCCATCACTTACAATGTTCTCTACGAGGTCTGCTTCACCTGAAGTCTGCGATGCTTCCCATATCGACTAACATCCAACCTTTCTTTATTCTGTTATTTGTAGCAATCCTTTTTCAAGTGTCCATTTTTCTTGTAGAAGTTATGAATCTGATCACTGAACTTAGACTTTGATCTGCCACTTCCAGAATCACCATGAGCAACAAGGTTTTCTCCATCTCTGACCTCTGAAACCAGATATTTCATCTTTTCTTTTGAAAATAAAGCATCATACAGCTCCTCTATGGTGATAATATCACGACTATACAAGACCGTGTCTCTAAATGAATAAAACGAAGCAGACAACAAACACAATAGGATCAATGTCAAATCTTCTTCATCATACTTTACTTCCAAAGTTTCCAAATCAGAGATGATCTCTTTAAATGCAGCCAGGTGATCTTCCGGTGATCTTCCAATGATCCTCTTTCGTCATTCGATGAGAGTATAAATGCTGCTTGAAATGCAATTTGCTTGTCAGACTTTTAGTCATGCACAATTGCTCCAACTTCAACCATAAAGCAGCTGCTGAATTCTCCTTCAAAACGTCCTGAAGAATAGTATTTGATTGATGAAGATGAATGTGAGAAACTGTCTTTTGACCTTAAATCCAATCCTCATCTGGTTTAGACTCGATGTCAGAAATAGCCAAGAAATCTCCATCACTTACAATGTTCTCTACGAGGTCTGCTTCACCTGAAGTCTGCGATGCTTCCCATATCGACTAACATACAACCTTTCTTTATTCTGTTATTTGTAGCAATCCTTTTTCAAGTGTCCATTTTTCTTGTAGAAGTTATGAATCTGATCACTGAACTTAGACTTTGATCTGCCACTTCCAGAATCATCATGAGCAACAAGGTTTTCTCCATCTCTGACCTCTGAAACCAGATAATTCATCTTTTCTTTTGAAAATAAAGCATCATACACCTCCTCTATGGTGATAATATCACGACTATACAAGACCGTGTCTCTAAATGAAGAAAACGAAGCGGACAACGAACACAATAGGATCAATGTCAAATCTTCTTCATCATACTTTACTTCCAAAGTTTCCAAATCAGAGATGATCTCTTTAAATGTAGCCAGGTGATCTTCCGGTGATCTTCCAATGATCCTCCTTTGTCATTCGATGAGAGTATAAATGCTGCTTGAGATGCAATTTGCTTATCAGACTTTTAGTCATACACAATTGATCTTTCTGTCATTAGATGAGAGTATGAACTCTGTTTAAGATGCAACTAGCTTGTCAGACTTTTAGTCATACACAATTGCTTCAATTTCAACCATAAAGCAACCGCTGAACCCTCCTTCAAAACGTCCTAAGAATGGTATTCGATAAATGAAGATGAATGTGAGAACTGACTTCTTATCCTTCCATAATTTCTCCTCCGCAGTTAAAGTTGCGGACATCTTGTCAATTTTCAATAACGCATCATCCAAATCCAGTTGTGCAAGTACTGTACACACTTAACCTGCCAAAGCGAAAATCTAGTGTTTCGATCTAAAAGCGGAATGTCATATTTCATGGAAGCCATCACGAATAAAAATCTCGAACACATAAAACCCTGCTCTCTTACAGACTACTGAACATAGGTTTTGATACCACTTGTTGTGTTAATTATGCCCATAATATCTGATACCGATTGTTGGGATTTCAAGAATCATGTATCGCTCTAATACCACTTGTTATGAAACCAACCGCTAGATTGAGATGTTGAAGTTGTGAATGAAGTATTTGATCACAAGTAAAAGAATAAGAGATTTTATTGCACCAATAATAAAAGAAAAATATACAATTGATCCTAAAAGCTAGTAATCACTTTTCTCACACTTATAAAATTTTATAGAATAACCTAATATTTAAAGGGAACGTGTAGGGGATGTACAAACCCTCCAAGTAGTAGAGATGACAAAAAAATCTGACAAACCCAATACTCACGAGGCCCATCCTGTTCTTCGCTTAATCAGGTATTCGAGTCAAGTAACTTTGCCCCGAGGCGGGTTCGGGGTAACGGGTGCCCCCGCCCCATTTAATTTTTTTTTTTTTAGAATTCAATACTTTATATGAAAAATTTCACGAAATTTCATTAGTTCTAATAGAAAATGACAACTAAAATTATCTAATAAAAGTCTTAGTTTACCAAATATATTTGAATAATTTAACTTTTAAAAATAAGTAAAGATTAAAAAATATATTATTATCTCAATCTGATAAATGTGGGCAATAAAATGAATTATCAAAAACTTAAAAAAATAAAATTAAACGGGGTCGCCCCACCTTAAACGGGTAACGGGGTAGGGAATTGTCTGGCGGGGCGGGGGCGGGTAAGGTTGTCTCGACCCCCGTCCTATTGCCATCCATACCTAGTAGAGTTGTTGA